GTAGATGGTGTAGGAGTGTTGTGGCAGAAGACTGAGGATGTGGGGGTGCAGGAGTTTGGGGATGTGAAAGGCTCAGGACATGGGGTTCCAGTGTATAATAGGCTCAGATCTAGGGTTGGGAGATGGGGTGGTGCAGGAGTGTTATGATGCTGTGGCCAGATGGGGGCTTGGCCCCAATTGGGGGTTTGTTGGCCAGGCTTCATTTTTAAATAAAATATGTTACACACAAACAGTTTCAGCATTGTATTTATTTATGAGAGGGACGGGGAACCTGTTTTGAGTCAGGGGTCACTGACCCACAGAAAAGTCAGTTGGGGCCACACAAGTGAGATGCAAAAAAATAACTCCTCCAAAACCCCACAAGCCTCACTAATGTGGCCCCAACTGAGCTGTTGGAAGCAGGGGACATAGTACTGGGGAAGGGTGCTAGTGGGTGCTGGGACAGGGGACAGGATGCCAGTGGGGGCAGGGGACAGGGTGCTGGGGTGGTGACAGGGTGCCAGTGGGTGCTGGGGAAGGGGACAGGGTTCTGAAACAGGGGGCAGGGTGCCAGTGGGGGCAGAGGGCAGAATGTTGGTGGGGGCAGGGAGTCACCAGTATATGCCTCCCCCTGGGACTCCTACCCCCTCCACCCCCTACAGCAGAGGAGGGAAGTCCTGGCACGCGCCTCCTCCCAGGACGCCTTCCCCTCCTCCCCCCAGAGAAGGAAAGCCCCAGCACACACTTCCTCTGGGGACTTCTACCCCATTTCCCCCCTCCGCACAGCAAGTCCCCGGCATGCCACAGACCTGGGTCTGGTACCGTGCTGGCTGTTTGGGGAAGGGGAGCAGCCAGTGCACCTCCTGAAACCTCGGAAGTGGCGCACAGCTGCCGGACTTCCTTCCACCTTGCTGGAAGCTGGCACTACCTCCATTGTCTCTGGAGGTAGGTAGTGGGGCTTCTTGGGGGTGTGGAGAAATGGGGGGAGCCCCTGAACGCTTCACGATCGACTGGTCGAGCCCTCCTGATCAACCAGTTGATCATGATCGATGGGTTGGTGACCATGGGACGAGAGACTGGGAGTGGGCTGAAGGGGGCAGTTATTTATAGGCTGCTGGAGTCAGAGGGAAGCTTCTGGACTAGGACTAAAGAGGCATCAGAGGACTCTGGACTGACTCAGATAGACTTGGCTATAATTTTCCTGTGATACTAAGGACTTTCCACGCTGTGTTCCAGACAGCTAATAAACCCTCCTGCTTTACAACGCTGGCTGAGAGGCACTGCAGAAGCAGGACGTCAGGGGTGAATTGCTCCCTTTGGATGTGCAAGCCTTCCCCGGGTGTTCAGTTCACTCACAGAAGAGGACCTTTCTGTGAGAAGCTGGGATGCTGAACACTCCAAGGTTGGACCCCAGGAGGCAATGAAGCAAACAGGCCTACCCCAGTGAGAGAGTATGACCTGGGCCCTGGCACACAGTAGCCCCTCCGCCCCCCAGGACTATTCCAGAGCTGTCTGAGAGCCCCGGACCTGTGGCTCCATGAGAGGTGGCAGTGGAGGATGGTTGGTGAATGCGCCCAATAGACAATTGGCTGCTGAAGGCACAAGAAGCGTTTAGCAGTTTAGCAGTAAGGGGCTGGCAGTGGTGGAACAAGGGAAGTTAAGGAAAACAGGGAGGAAATGGTGCCTAACCAGCTCCCTGCCAGGAAAAGCGCAAACCTGTTCAGGAACAGCAGGTTAAATGTTGGGAAGCTCAACAAGGCGCAGCTGAGTGCAGCCCTTGAGAAGAACGACCAGTCTAAAAAGCCGGTTCCAGGCACAAGTGGGGCTTCAAGAGGGGCTGGGAACAGCACAGGCAGCAGCAGGGCATCCACCAGACCCGTTCCCCATCCAGCAGGGGATGGTCTTCATGACCTGGTTCCCCATCAGTTGACTTGAAGCAGCTGGATCAATAGAAGCAAGAAGACTGGGGGAAGAAGCAGATGCATGAACTGGAGATGTGGGGCAAGAGTACCCATGTGGGGGGTAAGTGAGGAAAGGCCCATTCTGCAGGGAACTAGACACCAAAGTGTTGCCCTAGTTTAAGGAGGGGAGCTGTAGATGCCTACCTCACTGCTTTGTCTAGTTAGTTTGAATTGACCCAGGGAGGAATCAAGGAAAAGGTTTCATGTCGAACAAAAGACCCCAGATGGTGTAGCCTATATGGAAGGGACCCAGAGTTTATTTTGTAATGACACAGCTGTGGGGACTTGGGTGTTAGGGCTCAAGCCATGTTTTTACTGTCCTAACTGATGTAGCAAGCCCGGTGGTGCCGGAGCTGAGTGCTGGCAAGCCATCGTGAGCGTTACGCAAGGGAGTCACCGCTCTAATGGGAGAATGTTTCTGCAAATGCTGAACAGGTGCAGGGGACTCGCTAACCTGGAGGATTTGCGTTGCTGTGTTGTGCTGGGAAAGCTGTATGAGATTTGCCCTGAGAGCAACCTCAAAATGTGGTTAGTGGACAGGAAGCCTAAAGTCCCGCAAAGTGCTGGCATGTTGGCAGACGAGTTTGTGGACAATAGGTCTGGGTTTGAAAAGAGAGCCAAAGGGGACAGGCCTAAGCCTGGATCCAGAGAAGGGGATGCATCCCAGCAGTGGGACTTGGGTACACCCAGATTTGGGGAGTGAGGCAGGAGGCAGCCCTCGTCCAAAGGACCTGAGATATAATTACTGCAGGCAAAAAAGGGATAAATGCAACAATGCCCAGAGACCAAGGAAAGGGTGGCCAGGCAGAACCCTGGAAGGGGTAACTTAGTGATTGCCCAGGACAGAGGAGCTACTTCAGCCTTTGTGCAGTTAGAAAGACAGCCATGTCTCTGAGGTGCAGAGAATGAACTACGTGACTGGCTTTCTGGAGGAAAGCAGTCCCACAGCAAGCTCCTCATGGCCATGGGGTGGTGACAGGGGTGGTGGGTCTACTCCAGGACCTAGAACACACCGTGAGGGAATGCACAATTGTAGTGGGGAGGTCTAGGTTGGATATTAGGAAAAACTATTTCCCGAGGAGGGTGGTGAAGCACTGGGATGGGTTCCCTAGGGAGGGGGTGGAATCTCCATCCCTAGAGGTTTTTAAGTCTCTGTTTGACAAAGCCCTGGCTGGGTTGATTTAGTTGGGAGTTGGTCCTGCCTTGAGCAGAGGGCTGGACTAGATGACCTCCAATTGCCTGGACATTTGGCACCTAGTAACAAATGACCATGGATGGGTCACCCTCCTTAGGAAGACAGCTGGGTGTGACAGCTGGAGAACAAATGACCGGGGAAGGGTGGGGGGTTGTATCGTGAGGGCTGCTGGAGACAGAGGGTGGTTTCTAGACTTGGACTCCCAAGAGATGAGAGGGCTCCGAGCTCTGGACTGACCCAGATGGGCTTTGCTGTACCCTTCCATTCTCTGTCTCAGTGGGTCTCAAGCAGAGGTACTCATACCCCCAGGGGATCTATTTGAAAACATGGGATGGTTTCTCCCCAGGTTCTAAAAGCCCCTCCCCAGCCTTATGGGAGGGACACTGGACCCATGTCCAACTAATTGCTTGGGACAAATAATGAATAAAGGATCAAGGAGTGCGGGTTAGAGGTTCAAAATAAGGGAGCCGGATGGGGACACCGAGCAGAGAACCCCGGACAGCGCCCACTGCTCCTCAAAGCTGTCGATGCAGAGGTCTTCCAGGGGGTATATCAACTCCTCTAGATATTTGCCCAGTTTTACAGAGGCTACATAAACGCACTAGCTAAGTCAATGCAAATTAAAATTTCCTACAGGCAATAGCTTGTTTAGTCTGCTGAATACGCTATACACTGACATGCAAGTACAATATTTATACTCCAGTTAGTTTATTTTGTAACTGCATGGTGAAGATGAGACAGTCGGCAATGTTTTGGTGCCAGGCTGCTGTGACACTCTTGTATTGTTGTGGCTGATTGTGTAAGCAAGAAGTTTTGAAGTGCGGTGAAACGTGGGGATGTGCAAGACAATTCAGGCATCTGAAGGGGGCACAGGGTCTGGGGAAGTTGAGCGCCTGCTCTCTGGTGACTAAGGACTTTCCATGCTGTGTTCCAGACAGCTAATAAACTTCTGCTTTACAATGCTACCTGAGAGTCACTGCAGAGTCAGGACATCAGGGTGCATTGCTCTCCAGCCATGTGCAAACCTTCCCCGAGTGTCCAGTTCAGGTGGGCTCACTAAAGGGAGCTCACGGTGAAAAGCTGGGCCTGGCCCAGTGAAAGAGTGACCCCAAGTGTGCTGCACACAGAAGGGGTCCTCACAGGGACTATTCCAGAGCACCGGGCCTAAGGCTCTGGGTCAGATTTCTCTCAAAGCCCTCACATCCAGGCTTTGTCTAAATCTTGCAGATCTTTCTGCATCATATCTTGAAGATACAGCTTTTCCTCGCCATCTGCGCAGGTCTCATCATTCTGTGCCTTGATCACAGCAGCATCCTTCTCTCTGGCCTTGACAGTGCAATCCTGCCCCAAAAATAGCCACTCTGATTGCAGCCGCATTGACATTTTCCTAACCCATCACTCTGACACTTTGAGTCCCTCCTCTAGCTCTCTGTTCCCTACCACATCCAACATAAGCTGTTTTCAAGCCCCCCCTCCTCCATGTCACTGTGCCAGCGCTTTCCCGATACCTGCTTCCATTGCCCACTTATTACATGTTCACATTTTGAAACTGGTAATACAGGTCTAGGCATGTGCTATCGGCCACTCTGAGCTAATAGCCTGAATTCCGTTCTGCAGGGGCTTGTGCTGAACAGCGGCCCTAGCAATCACAGGCTGCATTTCATCCAGGCAGGTCTATTTATTTTTTGTATCTAATAGTTCTGTACAAAATCTAGCTGCAGACTTAGCTCCTCTGCAGTTTTGCAAATGCTCTAGCAAGTGCCTGCAAGCACCAAATCTCTCTCAGGTTTGTGTTCCATTTGCAAATTTGAAAAAAACCAACAACCCCAATCTCTGTATTCTTGGGCATTGGGTGGGAGAGTGGCCAGGCCCTTTCTGCAATGGCAATAAGTGGCTTATGGACAGTTTCAGCTAAAATTGGCCTCCTATGTGTACAAACATGGAACTTTTACTCCCTGTGGGGTCCTGCCAAAGCTGCCTCCTCTGTTTGAGTGTAATGACGCTAAGGGTGTCCACACTACAAGCGGAAGGTATGACTGCAGCGCACATGGACGTGCTTGTGCTAGCTTTGATCTGTCTCTGACTGGGATTGTGGGCTCTGCATGCCTCTAGCCCCCAGGTCTTGCAGTGTTTTGGATTCTCTACCATGTCAGAGCACTGTCCTCCCTTCATAAACTTCCATCTGGGCTGGGTGACATCTGTTGCTTGGAAAATTCTAATTACCAGTCGAGCGTAAATGTTGGGACTCTCAGTAGTCTCTGAGGTTTTTTGTTCCAGATCCCAAACACGACCTGCTCTCTTATGAGGGGTACAGGCAAGCCCCCAAAACTGCATGATTGGCCCCTTCCGCCTTAGCTCAGACACAGAGTTTCACCTTCCTTTTGTTCCCTTCTTTCTGATTAAAAATCTCTCTCACATATCCCACTTTTAGGTGGAGTGCAGAGCGCCAATGCCTGTACTGCGGTTCACAGCCTCCAACTAACCAAAACCTACTTAACACCTCAAGTGCTTCAGAACCAGCTACTGTCAGAAACGAAGCTTCTTTCTGTTTTCCTTTCTCCTAGCATCCAGGGCTCTTTGAACCTTCTCTAGTTGGTGTCCACATTTTCAGAGCTCTCGTGGGGCTTTTAACTGCTCCATTCTTCCACGTGGGGTAACAGCTCAGTGCCTTTTCTCTCCTAGCATCATGTGGGGTTCCACAGTCACTCAGCCGCAGCACTTTACAGAGACCTGCTTCCTTCACTAGCTCTTTTCCAACGCCTCGCAGTTGCACCAGACTGAAACGGAGAGCTTCCCCTATCACTCGCACTGCCTCCGAGAGCACCTCCTACAGAAGGGGCTGTGCCTGGAGTGACTCTCCTCACAGCCAACCCTGCTCTTGCCCTGCTCCCTTCAGTTTCTCTTGCTGAGAGAATCCAGGAGTGTTTCATTTCTCCCCAGGTTCATGCCATCCCTCTCCGTTCTTCCTGGGTCATGACCTGTGCCTATGCCCCCTCAGGGAATTTTGTGGCCTGTGGAGGTCTCGACAACATGTGCTCTATCTACAACCTCAAGACTCGTGAAGGCAACGTCAAAGTGAGCAGGGAGCTCTCGGCCCACACAGGTGAGTTCCCTCTCCTCTCCTGCAACCCAGGGGATTCTTGCCCCTGAGCCACACTCTCACCCATTGTTCCTGCTCCTCAGGTTACCTCTCCTGCTGCCGATTCCTGGATGACAATAGTATTGTGACAAGCTCCGGAGACACCACTTGGTGAGTGGTTGCCTTTGCCCACACACTGTGGCTCAAGTGAGGAAGTGGGTCTGGCCCACGAAAGCTCATCATCTAATAAACCATCTTGTTAGTCTTTAAAGTGCTACATTGTCCTGCATTTTGCTCCCAATATGTAGCATTTCACTTAAAGCATTCCGACCCCAGAAATCATGGGATTTGGTCAGAATCTCAGGTTTTAGCCCTCATGGTCGCAGAGAAAAACTGGGCAACCATATTTCCCAAAGGGAAAATGGGACACTGTGCTGGGTTTGCCCAAGACCTCTTGTGTGGAGCTGCTCCCCTCCCCCTATCATCTGGGGGCTCATGTGAGCCTCCTTCTGTGCATGGGACTGGCCTCAGGGGCATCCCCCATCTCATGCACTGGGCTAGGCTGCATGCCATCGCCTTTCCCACACCCAGTGAGGCTGGCATTGCTGCTTACCCCCCCAAACGTTCTTCCATACCCCATTAGGGAGAGACACCCTCCTCGTTTTAAAAAACTGAGCATTTGTCTTATTTGCTTTTGCCAACTGATGCTCTCACAGCTGGCAAGAACACATGGGAAAATGCCCAGTATGTACCCACATACACACACTCTCTCTCTCTCTCTGCACAGGGCTTAAAAAGGGGACTGTCCTAGCTAAACACAACATACGATCACTCTACAAAACCAGAAGACAACAAAAAAGAACCTAAAGTTGATTATATTTGAAACTTGTGACTGAGACTAAGAATTTGTCACACATTTTTAGGAAAAGTCACAGACAAGTCATGGGCAAACAAGAAGAATTCACAGAAGTCCGTAATTTGTCCTTGACTTTTACTAAAAATATCCATGACAGAATGGAAAGACGCTGGATAGCTGAGGGAGTCAAGGGTAGCTTGGAGCTTCAGGATCTCCCTGCAGGCCCAGGTGGCCAGGAGCTGTGGGATACATCTGCCACCCCTGGCAGCTCAGAGCTCAGGAGCTCTGCCTCCTGAGGTGGTGCAGGGATCCTGCAGCTCCCCACTGCATTGGGCTTAAGTCACGGAAGTCACCTAATCCGTGACTTCTGCACCTCCATGACAACATCAGAGGATGACTCATGGCTTTGAATGTTTGGGGTGGCAATTCTGAGGCATAAAGAAGCAAAGGAGGGCTGCAGAGGGGAAGCTAGATTTCCCCCCTCTCCTCTACAATAAGCTTGGTGGTTTTCTTTCCAGCTGAGGCCAGGTCTGCACTAGAAAGTTTGCTAGTATAGCTAGTACAGTTAGTACCAGTTTGGTGAGCAAAATAGCTGTACAGCCAAAAAGCACCTCTGTGCCAGCTCCATTACAGTAATCACCCTCCCTAGCCAACATCGTTATGGCTTCGCCAGTTTTTCTAACATAGACCTGGCCAGCGTTAACTCAGCCATCGTCTTAGTCCTGGGCTATGACAACGGACTAGCTCAGTTGTTAATCTGTACTGACCATGTGAGAAGGAAGTCCCAGTTGTTAACTTACTTGGTTGGTAAAGGTGTTGTCCATCAGGGAGCCAGGGCAGCAGTTTCCCTCCCTTCTTTAAAACAGGGGTGACTCCCCACTGCACTCTAACGGCTGGTCCATCTCCCATGGCCTCACAACTTTAGCACTTCTGTCACTGCAGCCCTGCTGACTCTCTTCTGCTCCCCTCACAGCGCGCTCTGGGATATTGAAACGGGCCAGCAGAAGACTGTGTTTCTGGGTCACACTGGAGACTGCATGAGCCTGGCTGTCTCCCCAGACTTCAAACTGTTTATCTCCGGGGCCTGTGACGCCACTGCCAAGCTGTGGGATGTGCGGGAGGGAACTTGCCGTCAGACGTTCACAGGCCATGAATCGGACATCAATGCCATCTGTGTAGGTCCCTGCCTAGCAAAAGGGAGCAGCAAAGCTGTGTGGTTATGGGTCAGGGGAACACTGTCATATCTGTGTGGGGAGCCACTCTTCTGAGAAGGGTGCTCGCATGGTATGGTTACTAGTCTGGAACTAGGAAGATCTGGATTTAGTTCCCTGCCCCATGTGTCGTTGGGCAAACTCTTCAGTCCCCAAGTATACAGTGGGGACAATAGCATTGCCCTACCTCACTGGGTATATGATGCTCAGACACTAGAGTAATGGGGGCCAGATGCGTACCTTACTTCGGACCTTGGAATGGCAGGGAGCATTGTCAGAGCTGTGTAGGGGGGCCCAGGTTGGCATAGTGGGTGCTGTGGGGCAGGATTATGGCCCCTTACATGGTGCCCTTTCTCTCCAGTTCTTCCCCAACGGTGAGGCCATCTGCACCGGGTCAGATGATGCCACCTGCCGCCTCTTTGATCTGCGGGCGGATCAGGAGCTCATTGTCTATTCCCACGAGAGCATCATCTGTGGAATCACCTCAGTCGCCTTCTCCCGTAGCGGGCGTCTCATGCTGGCTGGATATGACGACTTCAATTGCAACATCTGGGACTCCCTGAAGGCAGAGCGTGTGGGTGAGTGCTCCTGGAGCTGCCTGTTGGACTATCTCCTGCACTGCAGGGCTGGGAGGACCCCCAGCAAGTCACTCCATGGGAAACAAAGTCCACTTTTCTAGGAGGGGCAGGTTAGTTGCCTGGGAGTCGATTCTCCCGGGGCTTTCCACTGTGGAAGGTAGGTCACTTTTTTCCTAGGAATGGCAGGTTATAGTCCCGCTGAGGGAAATACCTCATCTTGGCACTAAGGTGTGCACAAGGTCTCTGCTAGGATGTGTCCATGGCAGATGTTCAGGTGTGTAGGTCACATTCACATAGTGCAACATCTCCCGCAGCCCTTCTCTTGCTGATGTCTATCCTCTCTCCCTCAGGGATCCTCTCCGGTCATGACAACAGGGTGAGCTGCCTGGGGGTGACAGCAGATGGCATGGCTGTGGCTACCGGCTCCTGGGACAGCTTCCTCAAGATTTGGAACTGAAGAGGAGGGGGGGGGGAGAGATTGGGAGAAGGGAGTCCACTCTAAAGCCATTGTTAATCAGGCACAATTGGTGCATTAGTCACAAGCATGTTTCCCTCTGAGTCACTTATAGGGGGCTTCCTAGCCTGCAGGAGAGGTCTAGGAAAAAAGAGTTCTCTGTTAGCTGCTCCCCTCAACCCACACCCTAAATATGACCTAAGGCTTTCAGCCTGGGACCAGCTGTAGGTTCCCACACAAGTGAGGCTGTTGCACAAGCTTTAGGACCTTGAAGTGCATACCTAGTGACCCCCCTCGCCCCATTCTCTACCACCTTCTCTCTGACTTCCCACACCCATCTTATCTCTGCATTAACTTCCAGGCAGCCATCCCTCTGAACTCACCCACATAGCAGAAAGACAATTCCACTCCCTACAAAAGACCTTCATCTCCAGGTGGGGCCCACTACATGACTGCAACCAATTCTCCATATGCACTTTCCTGTCCTCCTCAGGAGAGACACCGTCCTCCCTGTGCACAAGGTTAGAGAGGTGAGATGTTAGCCAGCCAGGACTCTGCATCAACCTTTGCTAAGAGGAGCTAATTTCTGTGGGATTCCTTCCCCTTCAGTTAGCTCGGTTTTAATCTATGCATCAAATGGAGGAAGGAGAACACTGCCCCAGCTAGGGCATTAGGGACAAGGAAATATTAATTTATTTTTATCATATGCCTATAGCTGTCCCCTTCCCTTCCCCCACATGTGCTGTGTATTGCTTTTGCCCTGGCATTAGCATGTAGGCTACTTCAGCCCCCGCTTTCAAGATATAACTATCATACAGGAGTTTCATAGCTCAGACAAAATAAAGAGATCAAATGTGTGCTGCATCATTTGAGGTAGACACTGGAGCATGCCACTGCAAATGATGCTTGGGAACACAGGGGATAGTCATCTGGGAACTCCTACAGGTCTACTGCACTCAGCTCTAGTCCATCACTTCCAGAGGCAGCTCCCAGGGAAAGGAGAAGAAATGGGCCTCCCTCTCTTCGTGCCCTATGCAGCCTCCTCTTACTCCCATCATATGCCTAAACGCTTGGCTGCTTTAAGACCAAAACAGACTGTGAAGAGCTTCAAAAAATATCTCACCAAACTAAGTGATTGGGCAACAAAATGGCAAATGAAATGTAATGTTGATAAATATGAAGTAATGCACATTGGAAAAAATAATCCCAACTATACATACAAAATGATGGGGACCAATTTAGGTATAACCACTCAAGAAAGATCTTGAAGTCATTGTGGATAGTTCTCTGAAAACATCCACACAGTGTGCAGCGGCAGTCAAAAAAAGCAAACAATGTTAAGAGTCATTAAAAAGGGGGATAGAAAAGAAGACAGAGAATATCATATTGCCTCTATATAAAGCTGTGGTACACCCACATCTTGAATACTGCATACAGATGTGGTTGCCTCATCTCAGAAAAGATAAATTGGCATTGGAAAAGGTTCAGAAAAGGTCAACAAAAATGATTAGGGGTTTGGAACGGGTCCCACATGAAGAGAGATTAAAGACTTGGACTTTTCAGCTTAGAAAAGAGGCAACTAAGAGCAGATATGATAGAGGTCTATAAAATCATGACTGGTGTGGAAAAAGTGAATAAGGAAAAATTATTTACTTGTTCCCTGGTTCTTGTGTTATGAGGTCACTAAATGAAACTAATAAGTAGCAAGTTTAAAACAAAAGGAAGATTCCCCCCCCCACACACACACAGTGCAGTCAGTCTGTGGAACGCCTTGACAGAGGGTGTTATGAAGACCAGGACTTTAACAAGGTTTAAGAAAGAGCTAGATAAACTCATGGAGGTTAAGTCCATCAATGGCTATTAGCCAGGATGGGCAGGAATGGTGTCCCTAGCCTATGTCAGAGGCTGGGAAGGGGCGATGGGAGAGGGATTGCTTGAAGATTCCCTGTTTCTGTTCACTCCCTCTGAGGCATCTGGCATTGGCTACTGTCAGCCGACAGGGTGCTGGGCTAGATGGACCTTTGGTCTGACCCAGTATGGCTGTTCTTACATTCTCCCTCTGGGGTGCACAAGGGGTCAAGTTAGGAGCAGGATACACCAGACTCAGGCAATTCTGAGCCAGTGATCGGCCAGACTGACATTTTCCCAGGCTTCTGGTTTGTTGGAGCTAAGAAAGGGCCTAACCCTCAGACCCCATGAGACAGCAGAGGCGGTAGCAAAGAGCAAGTTAGGACTACACACACACCAAACTAGCATGCCAAAGAGAACACCCAGCAAGCAATGCTCAGCAGTGGAGGGGTACAACTCCCAACACAAAACATTCCCATCCCAGAGTGAGGCACCAGAATAGCCATTACAGTATTTCATCTCCCTTCAAAGTGTATATGGGGAGCTTTAGTCAAAGTGGCTGCTACTCCTGGCATGTTGCAGACCCTGGCTCAAAAGGCATATAACAGAGCATGCTGGGGGGGGGGGCTCTTCCTCCCATAAGAGCCAAATTGTTTTGGGGCCAAGATTCAGCAACAGCTGTACTGGACAGGTGCTGGGCAAGGAGGGGACTACTAGCCCCGGCAGGAAGCATCAAAGCACAGGTTGCAGCAGAATCTTTAAAATGTGTTTATTTACCACATGCATGGGACTTATACATTGAGGCAGTACAGGTGACATTTCAGAGACTAATAGCCACATCACACAGAAGCCTGTACATGAAGAGATATGCATAAAATTAGAGGACAGAAGTACTGATAAGCCTCTTCCCCCTGAAAAGGTTGGGAGAGAAGAGACTACAGGCCCAGAGTGTCCCTATCCAACACAGCAGGATCCTTTGTCCTTAGAAGGCTCCATTCAGATGCATTAGAAGAAAGGGTTATTGTCAGGAGCCCAAGGGAAAGGGCCCCCCAACCCCTTTAATTCTCCACCAAACGACAGTGTTGATTCTCTTTGTTCGAGTCGTTCCAGACAGAGCCCCCTGATTTCAGGTTACACCCTGGATCTGCTGCCACCTCCTTCCATTCCCCCAGGTTTTCTGCCAGAGATGGGTGCCTCTTGCCCTGGAGAGGAAAGAAAATTACTGAGCGCAAAGGCAAGTCTGAAATGTTCCTCTCTGCAGTGCTGGGGAGACACTACATGGGATACTGCACCCAGCTCTAGGCCCTTCAGTCCCTTAAAAAGGTAGGCAGAGCGCATAAATACACAGGGGCCATGTCCAGCTCTAGGCCCTTCAGTCCCTTAAAAAGGTAGGCAGAGCTCATAAATACACAGGTCAACAAGCCACTTGTGAGAGGTATCAAGACACAGAGATTAGCAATCACTTTCTTACCAGGATCTGAGGAGAGATTCAAAGTTTAAGTTATACCCAGCATGGCAAAGGCAGGATATGGTGGGAAGATTGCCTGTAAGCATCTGAGGAGGCTCAAACCTGGGGGACAGGATATTTAGTGGGAAGCTGATGTAGAGAGAACTCACAGTAAGAGGTAAAACCAAAAAAGAAAAAGAACTCAGAAATCGACCAGCAGAATCTTTTTAAAGATCCTGGAGCAGCATCGTTTAGGAAATAAGCTTCCAGGAGTTCTGGGAAATGGGATGGGCCTGGAGTGAGAGTTCTGAACTGAGCTTGTGGGGATTTTAGTACCTTACGGGGTTCCCTCCCCATGCTGCCCCTTTTGGGGTCCTAATGCCTCATCCCATAAGACTCCCACTAAGCATCACCTGGCGAGAAGAGAGAGTACTTGGGGAATTGTCGTCCTGTAGGATGCTGAGGGGAGAGCGCCCGGTACCTCCAGAGACTGCCAAGACTTTGTTGCTGGCCTTACGTCTTGTGGGTTTGCCCCCTGGAGAAAGAGAATGAAA